ATATCACCATGAGTGACTCATTTCTAGCCAATGAAAATGCAGGTGAAAATGACAAATACCACATTTCAGCCTGCATCATAAATGCTTCTTATGAACTGTGCCCCAGTCTCCCTCCTTTGTCCACTGGTAATAGAACTTATTATCCTAGTATGGTAGGGTCCCCTCCCTAAGGAAAGAAAAAAAGGAAAAAGAAAAAGGAAAACTCAAGGCAACCTGGCTATACATGTACATGACAACATCCTTCACAACCTTGTAACATGATACTACTTAATCAGAATACATGTTTGTATGTTATCATATATGGGAGAGAAAGAAGTAAAAAAAAAAAAAAAAAAAAACTACCCCAGGTGGTGTTCAGGGCTCAGTTCTTTGGGTACGAGCCCAACTGAGCAGTGCCAACAGGAATAAAGTTGCTTCCTGGAAAGAAAAGCCTCGGTGTCATGACTCTCTGTGCAAGAATCCTGCTACACTAGGAGACAGTGGAAAAACTAAATACAGATACCCAAGTACCTCTCTGAATTACCACTAGAAAGTCACCATGGAATACATCATTGGATTTTATGTGACTGAAAAATAGGCACCTATAATGTTGAACTACTGAATTGTGGGGGGTTATTTGTTTCAAAGTCATATGCAACCACCAACTGTTAACAGAAATCGGGACCTTGGTATTGGCTTAGTGATTGGTTTTTGGGTGGCAAATAGAGAGATAAATTAGGCCAGAAGAGAAAGAACTTTGTTTTGTTATCACAAAATATTTCGTTGCTTTCAATTTTAGAAGGCACTCTAGTTGATTCCTTACTCTAGAGAAAGTGGTTGGAAAAAGTCAGAATAATTGTATATAAAATTACATTGACTTGACTTAGTGCAGGATTACAAAGAGAGAGAGAGAGAGAGGAGTTCAGGCAAGAAAAGACTGCTCTCCAAACAGATATCCATGACAGTTGAGAACATCCAAAGATACAAGGATCTACAATGTTGAACAAGCAGGCTATAGCCAGATCTCAAATAGTAGCAGATAAGACTGAAAGAGATGTTTAGTGCCCAGTAAATATTCTCATTTGAAATAAATAGCTCAAGTCTGAGGCAGCCATTCCTGAATAGTATGGCCTTCCTGAGTATTATTTCACATAGTATCAAGGTAATCACCTTCAAGGTGAGAAGAAGAATAGGGGGAGGTTTAAAATGAATATTTATATATATTTTTATATAATAAAATAAAGTAAAATAAAATAAAATGAGAGAATTATGCCCAAGAAAGGGCTTTGACTGTGGTAATAGGGACATGGAGCCACTTAAAAGAAAATTGATCAGAAGTCTACAGAATTCATGAGAGAAACGAATTTTCAAAGAATTCACAGGTGGAGACTGAAAGGCCCTTGGCTGTCCAGGCTTTAAATAAGCCCTGGGGCTTCAAACTTGCACAAGTAGGGAAGAAGCTATGAGCTGTGATCAACCTGCAAGGGGAGCTCCTAACTTGAGCTGGGACCAGTGAGGACGGCAGTCAAGGAGACTCTACCCAGAAAGCCAGCAGCCACGCTAAACATCTGAGTTTAAAAATGGAATTTCCTGTACTACCAGAACAGAGAGACCTCTGTTCACCAGGAATCACAACTGCTGAGAATCAAGGGCTCTCCCATCTGTAAGAGACTAGAGTGGTTTCATCCTACCTTTTCTCCACCATTGTAATTTTTGTGTGTGTAGAAAGTGGATAGTAGATGCTTTGGCTTTTTTACAGCATACGTTTCTCGACTCTGAGGAGCTAACCCCAAATCTTGTGGATGAAATGCCTGTATCACCCAGAAATCCTGGATTTTGAACTGGGTGCAATGACTGGATGTGATTTTAGGTTATCTTCTTTAGGTAGGGGCTGAACTGGTTCACTACATGAGATAATGAAACTGATAGTTGGTGACAATTTCCTCTTCTTTCATAGCTATCCAGTTAATAAACCTCATCTCTCAGCCTTCCTTAAAGATGTGTAATGTGATCGGGTTCTAGGCAATGTTACTACTTCCAGAACTGAGCCATAAAAACCTAGATACTTCTAAACGTAAACTAATCTTTCCACTTCCCATAAGCCCATGGCAATATGTTTATATCTGTATATACCTGGTTTTCTCTTTTCATTAAACTGTTAGTGTAATAAATTCTAGAATAGTCGAAATAAGGGTGTAGACAGAGGGGTGACTATCACAGATTTGGGAGGCCAGCAACAGCATTAAGGATATTTATGCCTAAAGTAACAAATGAAGGAAGAGAAGTTAGCTGAGCATCAGGGTCATGGGCAAGATACCATCCAAGCAAATGGAATAGGGAAGGAGATGCAGAGACACAAAAAATCCTATGTAGCAGAAAGTGAGACTCCCCCACCAATATACTCTTAGTCCTTATGATGTTAGTGTCTTAAAATGCTTCTTCAAGTATCTAAATCTGTATCTGTTTCCCTGAGGCTATCTCCAGTTGCTGGAACCTGTCTTCTGCCTATGTACAGAAGCCCAGAAGTGCCAAGGAATTTATGTCCTTCTCCAGGATTTGGTGTATGAATACCCCAAACCCCTCACGTCTGAGATGGGTTCACTACAATGCTCATGTTCTACACTGGATCCCAGAGTTCCGCAGTCAGATTCAGCTTTTATAAGCAATACTTGTAATGTGCTTAATCACCCAGTTACTACCACCTTCTGTGTCTCAGCTCTCTATTACCATACTGTTGCATCCTGAGACCAACTCCCAATGAAAATTTATATGCCTGTGAATCCTTATCTCAGGGTCTGCTTTCGGGAGAAGCAAACTATCATGCCATAACTTAAGAGCTTTAAAAAAGGTCTAAATTGATTGAAACAGGAAATACATTGGCCCTTGAACAAATGAGAGTTACAAGCACTAACCACTCATGCAGTCAGAAATCCACATGTACCTTTCAACTCCCCAGAAACTTAATTACTAATAACCTACTGTCGGTAAAGCCTTACCTGAAACATAAACTACCTGAAACATAAACAGACAGTTAACAAACATTTTGTATGTTATATGTGTTATATATTGTCTTCTAACAATGAAGTAAGCTGGAGAAAAGATGTTATTAAGAAAATCCTAAGAAAGAAAATACATTTATAGTACTACATTTATCAAAAGAAGCCTGTGAATAAGGGGACCTGCACAGTTCAAACTTGTAATGTTCAAGGGCCAACTCTATAAGGAAGAGAAATTTAAAAATGCATATGGGAAGGTAACATTTATACTTTATTTGAAGGTCATGGAAATGCCACTAAATGGCTTGCTAAACAATAGGAATATAGTTAGACATTAGATTTGTGTTAGAAAAAGTATCAGTCTGGCAGCAAGAGAAACATGGATTGGTTTGGGGACAGATGGAGCAAAACCATAAGGGAGAGAAGATTTTAAAGTAACCAAGACTAAAATTAATAATAACTTGAACTTTGATAATGGACGAATGAATGGAGAGGTAAAAAGGTTTGAGAGAGACTTAGAGTAAGGTAGGTTCAAATGAGGCTGATCAAATTGACAGGTTTGATAGAATGTGAAGAGCAAGAAAGAGGATTAAAACCAAGGAAATTCCTTGGGAGCCCGAGAAACTGGGTGGAAAGTGACAGCCTTTCCGAAGCAGGAAATCTAAGAGTTCATCAAAACTAACTGAAAGGAGATTAAAAAAATACTCTTTGGGGGGTGTGATGAATTTGAGGCATCAGTCAGGTATGTAAATAGATGTTTCTAGCTATCAGTAAGATTTATGGATCAGAAATTCAGGAAAATGATCAGAGCTGGAGCTAGAGGTTTGACTATTGTTTAAATCTGGATGTTTATAAAGCAGTCAAGTGACAGTATCTAGTGAGAGCTCACAAAGTAGTACTTGGTGTATCCCTGCTTCCTAGAAGAACATTCTTTTTGTTCCCCCTCCCTCTTATCAATATGAGTACAAAATAATTTATGGATTTTATTTGGAGGACAGAGGCCAAATATGAAAGCCATCTTGTTGGACAGGTGTTGCATACAGGTATATGCATTGTATTTTCCAGGAATGAAACTATGTAGACGGGAGATACTTTTATTTACTTTTCTTTGGCTATTTGCTAAGAGTTATTCACTATTATGGAATATAATATCACTCACGGTAATACTGATTATGACATTTACATTGCCAATGTATTACCTCTATATCGGTTTGAAATTTTAGCCTTTGGAAGCACAAATATGACAGAGATTTGAAACTTAGAACCGTTAAAAGTTGTTTTATATTCTCTCACACACAAACACACATTTAATTTGTGTCTGACGGAATGATAAGAAAATGGGAAATTACTACATTGATTTTCTTTTGTATTTGAATTTCCAATTTTTTGTAATTTGAACATGATACTCTACATGGGCTTCACCCTGCAGCCTCCTGCATTACAGTTTCCTTTTACACTCCATTCCTTACGACGCTGTCTAGTGAAGGATATTGTCTCTGAGTCATTTTGAGAACTGGAAACTGAATTTCAAGATAAGCAATAGATGTTCTGTTATATTTTATTGCATCATCCCGTGCCATAATATAGAGAATTATATCAGCACTAAATATCATACTTCCTCATTTTATCTCATTAGACCATCTGTAATTTATGTTGGTATACTGAGATTAAGGACATTTCCCTTTTTTTCCATACCGTTCACAATCGGTCTGGTTTGTATTTATCTTAATCTTCTTAATCAAATGTCCAGCCACACATCTAATTTTTCAGTTCCTACACTTCTCGGTCATAATGTCTTCTCATTGCCTGAATTCCATTACATCCCAACATTTTGCATAGTTGCCACACAGAGCCTAACATCTTAATTTTCTTTGTCACACCAGTCACTTTACTTTTTTCAGGATCTTAACTGGTCATACTACACTTGTGTTTCAATGAACACTTTTATGAATACAAAGTTGTTTTCTTTTCATGGAGGCATTAAGAAACAAAATTTCTTTTCACTGGTTTAGATGCTTTGTAGCCTTGCTTGGACAACAAGTAGGCTAAAATTGGAACAATACCGAATAGATTAGTATGACCCCCAAACAATGGTGACACACTCATTCATGATGCAGATATTTTGTAAAAGTTGATTCTGTCGGTAATTTTCAGGAGGCCATACTTACATATTTGAATCTTCACTTTTCTGGGGGGCACTGTCATTGTCTGAACAAATGATTAATGACAATGCTAAGATAGCAAGTAGAAATGTTAGCACAGTGGAATCAAATTTTAGTGGCCACTGTTCAAAGAGATAATTGTATTCTGTTGCATCAAAGCTCATATTCTAAATTCCATTTCCTGTTCTTTGGGGGTGAGGGGACTCAGAGGTCTTTCTACTTTAAGTAGCATGGGAACACTGTGATTTCAGATGGATTCTCCCGAATGGAAAGACTTGTTTCTTATTTTTTTAAATTTTTAAAAATGTTTTATTTATTTCTGAGAGAGAAAGAGAGAGAGCGTGAGCAGGAGAGGGACAGAGAGAGAGGGAAACACAGAATCTGAAGCAGACTCCAGGCTCTGAGCTGGCTGTCAGCACAGAGCCCAACACAGCACTCGAACCCACAAACCTGAGATCATGACCTGAGCCGAAATCGGACCCTTAACCACTGAACCACCCAGGTTCCCCAAGACTTGTTTCCTTCTTCAGGGTCAGAGACATAAGTAGTAACCCTGAACATATGGAGGGAACAGCTACATGTGAGATGGCACAGATGACAAATTACCACCTAAAATTATACACGTTTATTTTTGAAGTGTGTGTGTGTGTGTGTGTGTGTGTGTGTGTGTATGTGTGTGTGTGTGTGTGTGTTGTTTCTTGTTTGTTTGGTTTTGGTTTATATCTGCTGCCCTCATTTCCCAGAATGTACGCATCAGGTACCCAAAATTTTGCAGTGATTTTGAGGAGTCCTGTGACTTCAGGATATCAAGCCAGTATTTCCTTAAGCTCTGACACTTTGTCTATGACTCAAGAATTATTGTCATGCTCTTCCTCCCATGGATCCTTAGATCAGTGAGAGACAGAATATTCATATGAGTCCATTTGGAAATTTGTCAAAATTCAAATAGACCATTACTGGCAGAGCTTAAATTTGCACAAAGCTTTTTCACCCCCATTCACTCTAAAAAAAATCAATTCTTTCCACTATACCATGAAGCTATTATATATGTTCCCACAAGCACTGAAGCCATGTGTAATGAAGCATGTCAGAGCAGAAACAGAATCTATCAGGGTAATTTTTTTCCTCGTGTGTTCTTTTTATTATTTTTGATTACATGCAAACTATGTGAGCACTTCATTAGTTATCTATTGCTAAACAAATTACTCCCAAATTAGTGGCTGAAAACAATACTCTATTTTCTCATCAGTTCGGCAGTCAGGGAGCTGCATAGGGCTTAGCTGGGTCCTCTCACAAAGCTGCTGTCAAGGGCCTTGAGAGCCAGCTCAAGGTTCAACCGGAGCAAGATTTGCTTTCAAGCTTACTCAGTGGTTGTTGGAAGCATTCAGTTCCTCTAGGGCTGTGAGATTTAGGACCTCAGTTCCATGCTGGCTGCTGGACCAGAGCTGCCTCACTTCCTGGACAGATGGCCCTGTGCACCAGGGTCATCATGTGTAAGAGCCAGAGAGGGAAGTCATGATCTTTTATAACCTGACCATGGTGTGTACATCTCATCCCAGTGCTGTACTCCCTTCATTCACAGCAAGCCATTGTGTGCAGCCTTGAGTAAAAGGGAGGTGATTACACAAGAGTGAACAGCAGGAGTTGGGAATCTTTGGGGGCCATGTCAGGATCTGCCCTCCACAAATATACTCATATTACGTTGATTTGTGCAACTCAAATCTCATAAATTCTCTCAAGAGCACCTTGATTGCTGAATGTATGTGGTTTGTGGGAAGAATTGTTTGTTCATTCACATACATATACTTTTTGGCAAACCCTGTACTAGATGCTCAGAATCCAGGAGTGAATAGCCGATCCTTACTTCAAGGGGCTCAACTTCTATTGATGGCAGGAGAAAGACATATGAGTAAGATTGTGAACAGGGCAGTAATGTGGGGTGAGCAGTGAGAGGCAGGACCTTTCCATGCTTAACATACCCACGTTGTATGATTTCAGCACTGTCGCAGACTATGAGTCTGGAGTTCTCTCTTGTCCAGCAAGAGAGAGGATGCAGAATTGAATACAAGAGAGGCTAATGTCCGGTAGGAGACAAGAGCCCTGAACAGAGGTTTCGTCTCCATATTTATTGAGCTCAAAGATATTATCCATGTGGTAAATGTAAAGAAAACAAGATCTTACACACATGGTGAATGTGAAGAAGAAAACAAGATCTTACACATGTGAATGTGGAGAAAACAATCAGACTGTAATCATTAACTTGTATGTGTAAGAAGCAAAGGGTCTGAGGGGCAAGTGGAGTTTGTAATCAAGATATAATTGTATATTGGCATCAGATGGAAAGTAATTTCCTGCAGGTGATATAACAAGTTACATATGATCCCATTACAATATCTGGCTAGCTAACCTCAGGAGTTTTCACCCTGTGGTGGCCACTTCCCCCTAAGCTTTCCTCTAACTCATTCATATAAGTAGAACCCACTTCCCCACACTCCATGTCCTTGGCCTGCTTTTAGGCAAGCAATAACATTATTTTACTCTTAAAATTTGTTTTAGTCAGTCAGTCATCAAGGGTCAGTCCTTACTCCCTTGTAGTGAAATGGAAGCTAATAACGATGATTGTAAAACTACAGTCTGGACTTGTAAAGCTACAAGTCTGGACAGCTGGCCCAAAGAAGGGAGTCGTCACTTCCATATTGGAGAGCAGTTAAGGAAAGGTCTTCATGGGTAGATGGAGTTAAATTTGAGTCTTGAAAGTCAATATCCCACTCTGATGGCTGGGTGTATATGGTCCATGGTGCCATTTAGCAAGGCAAGGAATACATGGAAAGAAGCAGGTTTAGATGCAGTGTGAAATATGATCTTAGTACATTTATCAGGGTTTGGATGAAGTAAATAGAATCCATTCTATCAAGATAAACTAAAAACAATATTTCAATATTTAATAAAAGTTCTTGCACAATTCCTAGAAGGGCTCACGAAGCTGGTCCTAATGTCAACTTCCTACATGAGAAACAGACATTTGTTAGCCTGCCTCTCTGGAAATTTCACACATTGCTAATTCCAACATTTGTACTAGCCTGACATCTGTAACGGCAGTTGTAGGAAAGTCTGGAAAATGCAGTCTTAGGGTTTTCAGCCCTGTTAGAAGGGCATCATGGGGATGACGGGAGCCATTGCCCAGTTACCAGTCACATGTTTACCCTGACGATGTTGTTTGAAGTGCGTGTGGGACACCCTTGTGGAGAAGCCCCGCAAGGATCGATTAGACAAGCCTGAAGTTTGGGACCAAGAGATCTGGTGCTAGCTGAAACCCCCAAAACACGTATCACCCAAAAAGAATGTGAGAACCAACAAAGGCTCCAAACAACTCTCTTTGGTACTGTCTATTCATTTTTAGAAAGAGCCAAGAACATTAGAAACCTTAAGTTGCCAAGAACCAATTAAAGCATCTATTTCAACTTTAGTATAATATTTGAATTTGTTGGCTTCCTGGCTAAATTTATGAGTAATTACACTGAGCTTAATATCTTTTAAAACAACCCACCGCATTGTCAGACAATGTGTTGTCTCTGAAACTGTGTTAGATTCTTCCAAGATTATTCTCTCCCAAACCTCCACCCATTCATTTTTTTTTTCTGTACCGGGAGCCTCACAGAATATGTTTATGCCCCACTTCCTTCAAATGTCTATCAAAATTTGTAGGGAATTCCTAATACCATGAGCCTCCTCTTTGGATCACAAGCCATAAGTTGCTTCAAATCCTTGGCAAAAATTTCTGGAAACAGACAGTGAAAATCCTAGAGGATTCTGTTTCCTGGTATTCTGTGGCTCCCCAGTGCATTGAAGAGATTCATGAAGCTTGATCACCATCACCCTCACCTCTAGCTTCACCAGCCCCTGAACCCATCTAAGGCATCTCACTGACTCCCCACCTCCCTCTGAGCCGGCTGGTAGGTGCCACCTCCGCTCACCCCAGTAGATCAGCCATGTGCTGCAGGTCTATCTGTAGCTTTCCTCCAAGACTCTTCTTGTCACTTTCTCACCTCAGTTTTCTCATCTGACGTGTTTTCTTCCCTGGACAGTAGCAGTAGACCTAGAGAAAATCTGATGCCTATAAGTGAGTAACCCCAGGTCCAGATAAACACAAGGAAATAGATTTCAGGATTCCATGTTTAAGGATATGATTTTGAATTTTAAAATATGACCAGCAGAGACCAGGCACACCTGAGTATCTGATGTCACTAGGAGGCACAGTAAGAAAAAGCTGCTGAGGTCTGGAAAAGCAGATTGATACTAGATGACATTTCAGTAAAAGGAATTGCTTTGCAAAGGTGATTCTGTAGCACAGTGAAGCTAATGATTTCTAATCTGCTGTGCAATAGAGGTACGATGCTAGATCTTTCATTTACTGGTCTTATTTAACACCTAGGAGTAAGGTAACTGTTACTCTGTCTTTATCATACACCAAAAAAAAAAAAAAAAAAAAAAAGCTCAGAGATGCTAGGTAACATGTCTCTGTATTAATTAATTCATCTATTAGCAGTGTTTTTTATGATATTGCAGCTGAGAACCACGGCAGGATGCAAAATGAAGATCCTTTTTGGTCTGTCCTGTCATTCAGTGCATTAAATGGACCAGATTTAGGTTCCAGCAAGAATTCTTAGGATGCTCTAACTTTGTATTTTGTTTTGCTTTATCTTCTCCAGAAAATTGTTTTGCCTTGTCATCGCATTAATAAATCTCTATCCAAAACATCTGTCTCAGGTAGCATCACACATGGCAGTGATGTCACATCACACATGTTTGGCTCTCAGCTCATCTTCCTCCCTATTCAGCTCACGCAGGCTTGGGGCTTCAGTGTCAAGCAGGAGCCTTTAGAAGAGGGGGTGATTGCTTTCATCAACTTCTGAGATAACCCACATCCCTCATGCCTAGAATGGAGAGAATGTTGGGATTTATTAAG